TTTAGGAACTTGAAGTCTCATTCAAGTTAGAACTTTAGCTGAGGAAACTCGCGAGCTCCTCCATCCTTCCTACACTACCTGGGTTTGCTAGGAATCAGATATCGACGTACAACTGGAAACGACTCCTTCGCTTCTCGCCTCATCGTAGTTGTCTTCCGCTCCAACATGCAACTCCTTTTCGATGGCTCGTCATGAAATCTAATGCACAGCGAGACGAACTTCTTGCTTGCATTCACTAGCCTCTTCGCTCGCGGCACCGTCGCTAAATTTGCCTCCCTCGTAAGAGACGTCAAACGAAATATGAATTTTTCACCATCCTTGGTGAATGTGTACTTCTGAGCCCATCTTTCGTAGATCACATATCTATCCCACAAGTACGGGTTACCTAGTATAACCTAACAAACATCCAATGAAACGACGTCGTACGTGATCTCGTCAATATACGACTCGTGGAGCGCAAATCTGACATTGCATTGATCAACTACACTTAGTCTCGTTTCCTTCTGAATCCACCTTAATGGATAGGGTTTCGGATGCTTGGCTGTCTTTAAACCCAGCTTAGGCCTCGGATATTAAATTCTTTTCGCTGCATGGATCAACAATGGTATCAACCAAACTGGTCTTCATTTGTAACTTCATCACAAAGTGCTGCTCTCGGGGGGTCTTNTTTCCCTGTCATAAGATTGAGACTACTGTTGGGCTCTGTCATCCCAGGGACTTCCTTCAGACCCTGTGCTATCATGTATGCTTTTTTTTCATCTTTCTTCTTCAACCCCTTTGGCTTTAGATGAGGATACTTTTCCCAGTATTGATTAGTTATATGCCATGTCTTCTCGCAATGACCATAAATCAACCCTGTTTTTCATGGATCATCCTTCTTTCTCTCCTCAGATTGAGAACCACTAGACGCGCCTCTAACTTGCTTTGCATCTCCTTTTGCTTCGTTGCTCTTCTTTTGCTTGCCTTCGATGGCAATAACCTTCATGCTCGCCTCTGCAATAGATTCTACCGTGAATAATTTCATCTCCTTCCGGATGTAATCGCTCAATCCCGTCATATACTTCATAAACACAGAATATTCCTCTGTCGCAATGTTGAGGACCATCGCCTGTTGTTGCAACTCCGTGGTGTATTCTTGAATGGTTTGATTGATTCTTTAGCGTAAGCTGTATCACTTGTACCATCGTTCTTTGAGGAACCCTACCGGATAGAATTGTTTTCTAAGTAGTTCTTTGAACTTGTTCCACGATACCGTCTTCTTCTCCTGCTTGCAATAGGATTTTCACCATGTCAATGCATGCCCCGAAAGCTTCAAAATCGCGAATACGAGCTTCTCCTTGGATGAATATCTGTAGAGTGTGAAATAGGTTTCCATCCGCTCGATCCAATCATCAAGCCTCTCGACGTTGACACTCCCATCATAAACAGGAATCTTTATTTTGAAGTCTATCTTTAAATTTTGGTAAGAACCCTTACCCCCTTGGTGTGGAATAGACTTAACAATACGGGCCTCCTCATCTGAATCAGAATCCTCGCCTTCTCTATCGGACTTCACAAGTTTCTTCTTACCTTTCGAAGAAGATTCCTCCTTGTTTCCTTTTGTCTTGGACAAGATTGACGAGTTGCACGATGGTCGAACCCATTATCTCTATCTGCTTCTCCAATGCATCTAGCCTTACTGAACTATCTCCTTCAGTCATCTTCTTGTTCCTTAAATTCTGGACTCCTTCCAATGAAATAAGGATCTCGTCTAGCTTCTTGTATTGCGATCGAGTCAGGACTATACACATGATGCTCATTCTGCCGGGTCTGATCGTTCTGATATCAACTTGATATGAGTCGTCGTGCGAGCATCTTTGATCGCGAAATTATCAAAGGTGGGTTGAGAAGAGGATGACAGAAACACAAGAACAATTTAGTAGTGACGAAGAAAAATACCCTCTCTAGATTATGAGTATGAAAAGATTACAATATATTTCTCACAATCTCACTAGAATTGAGAACAAACTCTCAATTCTCTCTAAACTCTAATCTCTCTTGATTAGAATCTCTCTTTTTATATCTGCTTGATTAGAATCCTAAAACAATCCCTTATATATGTGTAACAACGTGGATGGTAAAATGGTAAATAACCAAGCTCAAACCCAACAGGAATTCGTGCAAACAGAAACCCAAAAGAACCAGGAAACATTCGATGAGTCGACTCACGACTGAGATGAATCGACTCGTCCGAAACTGGACAAAACACAAAACCAGCAATGAGTCTACTCATGACTGAGATGAGTCGACTCGTCAGAGACTGGTGACAAACGGCTGGGTTTCGTGAGTCGACTCAAGACAGGCATGAATCGACTCAACCTGATGAGTCGACTCATGTACATGTTTGAGTCGACTCACGGGCTGAAAACTGGGTGCTTCGATTCTTCGATTCGCCGTTTCGTTCCACGCTTCAACCTGCGTTCCACTGTGTTGTTTTACACCTCTATTCTCAAGTTACCATGATAATCATCTATTCTCAAGTTCCCATGAGGATTACTAAGTTCCGAAAAGAATATACACCCGTATCATATAATGTAGACTTACCAATCACTAACACACCATGCAACATGGTTGAAGTTCAAAACCACCACCCAGGACACATACATACACAACTTCGACCAGAACGTTGTATCCACCGCCACTGGTTGTAACCTTTTTCCCAAACTTTCCAACAAAATACTCCAACACGTTAAGCGGGCATCAACTTAAGAACGAAAGAGTTTAAATGTGAGAATGTAATGCTCATTCACATGTTTTGGTGCGATTAGAGAAATGAAGCGGGAAATAGAGAAAAATCAGTTTTTGGACACCGATGTCGTTGACAGTGGTTGCTGTTCTTGGCGATGACCGATACCACTGTTAGTGTCTGACATCACTATTTCAGAGCATGATGATACTCTTTTTATTCTCATTTAAGTAAGAATCCCAATTCTTAACTTTGCTTTGGGAATCATTCCTATAAAATGTGAGAATGAGCATTTCTACGGAATGGACATTCTAACGTATGAAATGCTTGTCTGATATTTAGGAGTGGTATGTAGGAATTAGCATTCCGTTCTAGCCCTTTCTTGCGTACTAAACGAAGCCCAAGTGCTAATGTGATCCGATGCGGACTCAAAAACCGCATTTCACCATCTCCACCAACACAATAGTGATCAACAAGGCATATTGGTGGATTGAAGGCGACATCAAACAGTTCTTCAGTATTTAGTTTTTGTTGAAGGTGTCTTTTCAGCAAAATATCTTGATTTGTTTCTATCTAGTGAAAAATTGAGTAGATCTCAGTGTCAGCCTATCTTGGACAAAATTTTGGCAAAAATCAATTGTTGGTCAGCTACGAAATTCTCCTATTTTGGGATATTGTCTTTGGTTAATTCTTTTTTTTATTTAAGCTTCATGTCTTTTTAACAAGTGGATTTTTGCTGCCTAAATTTGTTCTTAAAAGCTATTGATGTAGCTTGTAGGAGATGCATATGGGGAGGAAGAAATGATTACCACTAAGTAGCTCCTGTTTCATGGGTGAAAATGTGCAAACTAAATAAGTCAGGTGGTTAAGGTCTCTACCACGTGTTAGAATGTTGCATCCTTGGTTAAAATTGCATGGAATATACATTGTTAAAGTGCTTTCCATGGATTAAATGGATTCATGAGGCATATTTGAAAATGTTTGATATTTGACATGTGAGAGCAAGGGTCGGAGATTTGTGACAGTGGAAGAGGCTTATTAAAGTGTATTTGCTTCAGTTGTGGGGAAATATTGATACTTGTAAACTGAAAACTATGAGCTGTGTGATTCGTACTAAAGTGAAAATCTCAAAACTGTATCAGCTGATCGCGATGATGAAAGCACAGTGCGTGATGGTTTTTGGTTTATTGACTAGATTGGTGCTAGGAGGAGGCCCTTTGACTAAAGATAGGCTTGAGAAGATAGGATCTGTGCTGAATGGTTGTCAGTAATTTGTTAGTCACGCTGAAAGTATGGATCAGCTTTTGTTCAGGTATGAGTTTACAGTAGAAGAGCTAAAGCAGATTATGGCCTGGATAGGTACCTTTTGCTACCCACTTTCTTGGGTGCAGTTTCTTTTCAATGGGCTGGGGAGAGAGAATGGGGATGATCAGTGAAGAAGAAAGTTCTTAGGGCTTACTTATAAGCTTGGGTTTACCGTGTTTGGCATGAGGGAAATCTAAGTAACGTCTACTGACAAGGAATATAGTGGGTGTATATAGTTGTGAGGACTAATGAATATTGAGAGGGAAGGAGGCAGGAGGGTTTATCACTTGAAAATCCCACCACAGTATCAGACTTCATCTTGCAATTCTGGATGACACTTAGAAAGTACAGACTCGTTCTCGCATTCCTGGATGATCACAGTAGCTATCTTTATATAGAATTATTCTATAGAGATGAAGATCCCACAACAATATATCTTCTACTTAGAATGATTCCATCTATGTTTAGATAGATAATGTGATCATCCAGAAATGTGTGTTAGTTCTGTACTTCCTATTGGTAAGGAAATTTACCAAGAAAACAAGGCATAACATTTTAGTCTGCCAAACAAATCGAGGTACTCTGTGTGAGAGAATGAAGAGGTTTGTTAAATTCGTTGTTTTCTTTCTCTTTCTTTTTTGAAGAAATCCATGATGTTTCTCTATTCTCTATCTACATAGATTAGAGTATATCGCACATTTAGAACAGCAACAGGGAGGGGGAAAACAACTTTTTTGAAGCGAGAACATCAATTTCAATTTTTTGAAATAAAAGCTGGATCCTTGGTTGTGTAACTTGGGAATGAATTGGTCTTCTACTGCTTTCACCAACAAAACAAGACCCATGCCTAACATTTTTTTTAATCCGTACCTTTTTGTTTGTGAAACCCCTGATATGCTTGTTTTCTGGTTATCTACGTGTCTCCTCTTCGTATAGAGCGATAACATATGGATTTTTACTGGTTGTGCAGGTGGCTTAGAGATGAGTTTAGTCGGGAGATTTACGCTGATAATAATGAAGCTGTACCTGACAGTATATATAGCTATTTACCTTCACTCTGCTGATAGCTGGAAAGGCGGCTTCCTGTAACCCATACCCAAATAGATGGCTTTTGGGGTTGGTTTGCCCCACTAATGTAATGTAATTTATTTAGGCAGATCAGTTGCAAATTTTTATTATTGCTGAGAAATTTTATCCGTAATTCTCGGAGTTCTCAGCTGATGATTAATTCATGTACTATTGTTCATGTCCCATGTAATAAGGTTCACTTTGTCAGCGCCATGCAAGTTATACCATAACTTGCTATATTTTGCTGATATGTCTGTTCTATCCCTTAACTTTAGTTTTTTTTAGAACTATGATGTATGGTTTTGGTATTATATTTGCCTATCTACAAATAAAAAAGAAATGGAGTATGATATGATTTTAATAGGCTGGATGCACCCGTATTGCACTACACGTGGTCAAATATAATTATTGTTTCTTTTAGGCTTATTTTTTTTTTCTTGCAACTTGATTGCGAAATATTTTATATTTACATAAAATATATTGCAACAATCCTCCGTAGTCTTTACACTTTTCTTAGTAAAGCTTCATAATATGGTTATTTCAAAATGCGAAATGATCTAAATACCTGTTTCAATTAATAAAATCTCTGAAGTAGTAAAAGGATAATACCAGCCACTTATTGTGCTTAGGAAACACTCTTAACTATTTTAATTTGAAGAAATCTCTTTAGTTTTGAGGGTGTTGTAATAACCCCTATCAACTTTGAAAATTTTATTCACTCAAATATATGAATTCTCACACCCATCCCCAACCAAAAAAAGCACAATTTTTTACACTTTTTTTAGCAAATCCTACTGACGTTGTTACTTCATAATATGAAGGGGAAAATGCTTCCAACCCCCAAAATCAAAGAAAATGTGTCTCCCACCCTAAAGACTTTTTCAACGGGTGCTTTACCCCTAAAAATAAACTTTTTGATTTCTGAGCCCCCAAAACATAAAGCCCAAGAATTTTACATAGGTAAAGACTATAATATCATTTATCTCTCTTATGGGCATTGATCGGCTGGGAGGTAAGCAAGAGAAGGAGCCCAAACCATCCAACTTCTTCATCAGCACTGTCTTCTTCGAAGAGCCCTGCACCACCGCCCAGCTGCAGCGCATGAGAAGCGGCGGCCCAATGTCATCCTCGACCCCGAGACCGGTGCCGAGGCTGAATCAAGGAAGCTTCCTCCCTCCCAGTACAAGGGCGTCGTCCCCCAGCCCAACGGTCGCTGGGGTGCCCAGATCTACGAGAAGCATCAGTGCGTCAGCTCCTAGGACGTCGCTGCCCAGCGCTTCCGCGGCCACGACGCCGTCACCAACTTCAAGCCCCTCTCGGCGTACAACCCCTCCAACACCGCCGAGCTCGGGTTCCTGGCCCGCCACTCCAAAGCCGAGGTCATCGACATGCTCAGGAAACACACCTACACCGAAGAGCTCCGCCAGGGCAGGCTCCGCCACTCCAAAGCGAAGGTCGTGAGGTTGTTTGGTGTTAATATTTTTGGAGGCGGAGATGAAACAGTGATGATGATGAAGAGGAGGAGGGATTTGGATTCGGATCAGGTGATGGGAACATCAAGGCTTTTTAGGAAGAAATTTGTAGGTCTTCTATAGTATTTTTTTTATTTTTTTAGAAATTTGTGCACAACGTTACTGATCATTGCAAGTGTAAATTAGTATTATGAAAGAATGGAATGAAAACTAGACATCCATTTCGTTAAAACGTTGAATTGTGATGGAAGAATTTTCAATGGGCCTGCTTGCAGACAATGTATTGTATTTGTAAAACGTATGAAGATGTTTAGAAAAAATTTTGAGAGTGTTTGCTTGATTGTAAGTTTTTGCCTTCAAACCCCTGATTTTACTCTTAAACCAAGTGGTTTTTTTACGTGCTGGTTGTTAAGGTTACACGTTACTTGTTAAGGTTATGGGTTACTTGTTAAGGTTACACGTTGATTGTTAAGGTTACGGGTTGCTTGTTAAAGTTACGTGTTGGTTGTTAAGATTACGCGTTGATTGTTAAGGTTATACGTGTTGGTTGTTAATGTTATATGCGTTGATTGTTAAGGTTACGAGTTTCTTATTAAGGTTACGCGTTGCCAAGCGATTTACTTGTAGCTTGTAAGGTTACGGGTTGCTTGTTAATGTTACGCGTTAATTGTTAAAGTTACGGGTTGCTTGTTAAGTTTACGGGTTGCTTGTTAAGGTTATACGCATTGCTTGTTAAGGTTACGGGTTGCTTGTTAAGGTTACGCGTTGCCAAGCGATTTACGTGTAACTTGCTAAGGTTACGGGTTGCTTGTTAAGGTTATGCGTTGGTTGTTAAGGTTACGCGTTGGTTGTTAACCCGTAACCTTAACAACAAACACGTAACCTTAATAAGCAACCCGTATAACCTTAACAAGCAACCCGTAACCTTAACAAGCAACCCGTATAACCTTAATAACCAACTCGTAACATTAACAACAAACGCGTACACTTAACAATAAACGCATAACCTTCATATTAACGGAATCCGACAGAAGTTTCAAGAACCACCCACTGATATTCCACCATTGTAACTAATTATAAGCCAATTAGCCCAAATTTTAGCTATATTTACATATAATTTCTTGATTATTCCGTCACTGGTAATTGATTATAAGTCAAGTAGTCCAAAAAATTAACGATATTTACACATGATTTCTTAATTATTTCACAGTAACCAAAATATTATGTACAACAGACGCCCGTTAGGACTTCTTTGATCCCTCCATCTCATTGGTACAAAATTCAAGGAAAAATAAGAAAATTCAAAAAGAAATAAAATATTTCGTTCCTTCTTGAAGATCGGCGATCAAGTCCTACACAAATCTAGCTCTTTCTCCTCCTTTCCCCTCCTCTCCTTGTGGCCTCCTCTCCTCAAAATGCAAAATCAAATTTCCCATCTTCAGCCCTGAAAAAAACCCTCAAAAGAAACTACAATGAATTTCCTTAGAATAAGTCAAATCCTCATCCCTCTCCTCTCTCCTCAGATCCAAACCCCCAATCACTCGTCGTCATCATCATCATCATCATCATCATCATCATCATAAGGTTTTTCACAATTCCTTCTTCACTTCCCGCCACCACTAGAATCATGAGCTCCAGCATTTCCCCCACCGCGACGGCCACGACTACTACTGCTAGAACTGGTACCACGACTCCCGCATCGTCGTCGTCACTGTCATCTTCTCCGGAGGCATCGCAACCTCCGTCTACTTCGGCAACCTCGAGACCATCCCCTACATAAAGCGGACCTACTTCGTCCTCCTCTCCCCGGCCCTCGAGCGCTGGAGAATGGCAGGAGGAGGGCGGCGGTGGCGACGGGTGGAGATGTGGGGGAAGGAGGAGGGAGAGCGGAGGGATTGCATGGTTAGAGAGAAAGAAAGGGTATTATAGTCTTTACCTGTGTAAAATTCTTGGGCTTTGTATTTTGGGTGCTCAGAGAACAAAAAGTTTATTTTTGGAGGTAAAGCACCGGTTAAAAAAGTCTTAGGGGTGGGAGGCACGTTTTCTTTGGTTTTGGGGGCTAGAAGCATTTTCGGGGAACGGTCTTCTTTCTGGGCACCATTAAGGGAGACAATCCGAGAAGATGAACAGGATTCTACGTAGGGGTGGTAAATGATCGAATCGAATCGAATACTAAGGTGTTCATATTTGTATTTGTTTAAAATTATCGAATTCGAATGCGGACTCTATTATTCATATATCTAGTTTTTCGAATTCGAACTCGAATACTTGGTATTTGATAAATATTCATGAATATTCACGAATACTTATCGAATATCAAAGTATATTTATTTCGTTAAAGAGTTTAATTTTCAAATAGTATTATAATTTATAAATAAAAATTACTTCTTTATAATATATGGTGTATATATATTTAAATTAAAATTTTAATTAGAAAACAGATTTAAGATTATTTAAGTCTTAAAATCTATATATAAAACTTAAGTAGAAATGGTAAATGGGTTAAAAATATGACATCATATGTGTAATAATACAAATAATAAGTTGTGATCAAATTTTAAACGAATATTTAATAGACAAACGAATCGAATATACATCTGGTTAAATTCTATTCGTTAATAAACTCGAATACTAAAAAATATTTGTTTAGTGGTAAATGAACTATCGAATCGAATATGACCGAATAGTTATTCGAACAATTATCGAACCATTTATTAATTATTTGGTTCATTTCCACCCCTAATTCTACGGAGTTTTAAAACGAAGAATTTTCGTTAAGCCTTTCGGAGAAGAACAGATAGAAGAGTCAAATGACTCTTGATTTGACCCCAGCGGTCTATTTATAGACAGATATGAGCTGTCAAACCGGGATGAGATTCTAGTATAGAATCCCGCCAAAACGCGATCTCTACGTCAGTGTTGGTTGAACTACTAAATGCAGAGTTCACCTCTGCATTTCAATTCTCAAACACAGAGTCCACTCATGTGTTTTAAATACCACATAATGAACCTCTCGACGACTAGGGCTACAACATTAGCTTCAAATAAATAAAGAGAGGCTAATGTTGGTCATCAAGGTGACCAAAGCTGAGAAGAAACTGGTTGATGACAAACAACTTTGCAGCCTTTCGGATGAGTACAGATAGGTTATAGTCAGTGATGATTGAAATCATTGAGTTCGATTCGTCAAGCAACTCATTCTTCTGAAGGGCTTAACATTCCCACCAAGATGAACAAAGCCAAAAGGTATTCAACCTCACTAAAGAAGACCTCGTTAACAAGTTTGCAGTTGGCGTTTCCATGATAGCGTCACTATCACCGGACTTTTTATTACTTAAAGCCCGCAGTCGCACGTCGAGTATTCATCAATGCTTACAAGAATTTTCTGGACATAGAATACATATCATCGCAGATTGAGTGGAGTATCCGAAGGAACCAGATAAAATCCAAAGAATACACCACATCGTAGATTGAGTGGAGTATCTCAAGGATCTAGACAAAATCCGAAGAATACACCTCATCGTAGATTGAGTGGAGTATCTTAAGGACCCATACAAAATCCGAAGAATACACCTCATCGTAGATTGAGTGGAGTATCTCAAGGATCCAGACAAAATCCAAAGAATACACCTCATCGCAGATTGAGTGGAGTATCTTAAGGATCCAGACAAAATTCGAAGAATACACATCTTCAGAAGTTAAGTGGAGTATCTTAAAGATCCAGATGAGTTCGTTATCATCTTCGTCCTTGTTTGGTTCAATAACAATGGGCTTTAGCTTGTTTGACTAAGTTCATATCTTCGTCCTTGTTTGGTTCAATAACAATGGGCTTTAGCTTGTTTGACTAAGTTCATTATCATCAAGACGCAAAAGTTACCTTGTT